ATGTATAAGATGTGACTGTTAGGGGAACCTGGGCTGGGTGATAAGCCGATGCTCTGAGCTGGTTTTGCAAATTCTTCATGAAATGATGTTAAAAGGAACAGTTAACAAACAAAATGAAGAGGGAAAGGCTGGGGCTTCCTTTCTATATAGGCAGCAGGTAAACCGAGGGGCTGATTTTGGGTGTTGACGGCTCTGTGTATGCTTCTATAATCCATCCTCATTAGAAATTAAATAGACACCAAGTCAATTATCAATTAAGTGACAAGCTGGATAAACACTGCCGGTGTTAATTGACCCTTCAAGGGTTCTTTGAAGCTCACTCAGCGTGGCCAGTTCCTTTGAAGTTCTGTTTTGGCTTCAGCAAATCGCTGATGAGAATGATTTAATGGTGAAGTTTTGCCTGGTTAATGGGAACAGAATAAAGTGTAGTTACAAAACTACTTTTTGTCCTCTAATATGTAATTTCGCACAGTCCGGACAAAGGGGTAGAGTCATGTTGCTTAGTGAATAACTAAACTTAAGCCTTAAAAAAAATCATATGTAACAGATTTTCTATTGACATAAGAAGTCAGGGTTACTCTGAGTGGGCTAGGAAGCATTCTTGAGTTTATGATCAGTGTGGTTTTACAGGGAGAACAATGGTGTAAAGTTCTATGCCCTCCTGATGCTACTCCTCCTCATGTTTCACCACTTACATGTCACTTACGTTCTTTTAATATCTGTTCAGCTCAGCAGCCTGGGTGTTCCACATGGAGGCTGGCTCCTGAACATACGCGCAAGAGACACAAACATCCGCTAAGGTGAAGATCAGGGTGCATTTAATGGGGCAAAGTGAGGGTGTTTGCCAGGCAGGGAGAAGGCTAGGCTGGTAGACAGGGTGGGCCATGCTCTGAAAATCCTTGAATGATCTGTTAAGGCTTCAGTTGGGTTTTATTCCAATTGTCATGGCTCAGTCACTGAAGGCTTTTTAAGAAACTGATGCATTTAAGTTAAGTCTGGAGGCACATCTTAAACACATTTGTGAGTTCTTGTTTTTCTTCCTTCTCTACCCCTAGACACACCCACCCAGTCTCGAAACAGGGTAGATAATTATGCTCAGATATGAGTGCATATTTTAAAGATATCAAACACTCTCTTCCTGGTCTTTTGTCAAGACTTTGTGATGTTCCAAATTCTTTTAACCACCATGTCTTAATTTAGAAGCCTTAGTAGCTTAACGCTGAAATAAAATCAATCTTTTTTTTTTTTCTCTCTTGATATTTCCAGAATTAGGAGTTAGATTGGATCACTTTAGAAATTAAGAAGGAATGGTTAACCTCACTGCTAACCACGTTTCTGACTGCAGGAAAAATTGTAATTACTGGACCACACTGCAAAGACAACTAGGACTGATGGCTCTCCCTTTAAAGAAGGTATTGAAGGTGTACGAGGCTGACCTGTCTAAACTTAGAATCTAACTAGTTCAAAATGAACTGAGCCTCATCTGATGGACAGAGTGGCTTAGGCTGAAGCAAATGCTGCCCTCCTCTCCGCCCTCCCCCCCCGACACACCACAATTAACATATGGACAATTTTGGAACTTTACATCATCCACCACTTTTAGACAGCCTCTGCTATAGCCATGGCAACCCTTACATAAAGCAGAGCTGAGTTGGTAACTTCACTCCAAATGAATTGAAAACAAGGCTAATCCTATTATTGTTCGTAACAATTTTCCAAGTAGCTTCTTCTCAGAGTGCCCTTGCTTGTATAGTCTCTCTTTTAAAAATAGATTATTGGAAAATTATATGTGTGTGTGCACTCTTTCTACACGCATAGCCATTAGCACGGTCCTGCTGTCATTGCCGTGTAACCTTGCGCCCGAGATGAAGTACACCCACCTACATGGCCACTTAGTATTTTTCTTGCAGTTCGGGGATGGGTAAATCTTTTAAATATACCAATTTAGAACCTGGCACATGGCAGAGGCTGTCACTCGAAAATTACAGTTAAATAATAGTCTTTCGAAGATAAATTCTATTATGCGTTTGTATAAATCTGGAAAGGTAACCCAGTGGCTCTGCTGTGTATTGTAACTGTGCCCATGTGTGTTTCAGTAGCGATTTCAGAAAACCATGTTTTCCTTTTCTGCCTCCACTGAAGAGCATTCCCTTGTAAAGTGGTCCTATGGCCATGTCAAGATATTCCTCTTTGTAATTGTGATGAACACTCAATGTCACCCCGAGAAGCGCTGCTGCCCCTGACTCTACGGATGCACTTGTGTGCTCAGATGCTTCTTCAGTGGCCCATCTCCCTTATGGTGGTGGCCTGCTCAAGGCTTTAGGATCCAAACCCGGGTGTCAGTCCTGAAACAGAGAAAAGGGAACCTCCCTGACAGGCCAATAGGCTCAGACCTGGACTGTTCCACTGGGGGGGGGGGGGGGGCAGTCTTAGAGTGAAAAGAAAACATGGTTTGGGTTCAGAGGCCTTCAGACACGGCCTTGCCCCTCACCTGCTCCCTCAGCTTTGCTGTCTCCCATCCTTTGTGCCTCGGACTCTTCATCAGAAGCGGGCATGGATGCCAATAACTAGCCCACGGGGCTGTGTGCACGCCAACAGGACGATGCCAGTCATCTCGAGAAAGTCATTAGCAACACAGCTCCATACACGTCTGATGAGGACTATCAGAAGAGAGGAACCACGATGAACCAATAGGAAACCCAATTTATTAGACCAGAAGGCACACAGGGCGCAAGTCCAATCCAGGGCTTTGTCAACAACTGCTCAGGTCCTACCCACTGCTGCTGGATTGCTGCTGAACGTGGTGTCCTGGCGAACACCAAGAGGAAGAGTTCAGAGAGCTGGAAGCCATTTCAGTCTGAATCCAAGCACCAGGAAGACATGGGGCAATTCCTCCAATATTCCCTACATGATAAGGACTGTGAGCTGTCGTTGTCAGGCACCCATGTGGCCGTGGCCCCACCCGGCAGTTCCTACAGATCACAATTTTAGCACATTCAAGAGCTCATCCACACACACTTTTCTGAGTCTGACACTGAAGGAGGAGGGGACCCGAGTCAGGGGAAGGACTGGTGGAGATAAAACAGAGGAGAGGATGCAAGAGAAATCAGCAGGGATGAGAAAAGAAGAAATGGGCGAAACCACGTCAAGTAAGATCAGCTCAGTCCTGCAGGCCACCTACGGCAGACAAATGAAATCGAGGGGTCTGCTTGCTCAGGGTGACTCATGCTGTGTGAAGGGCCGTGAGGCCTTCTGCAGACTCTGTGCCACCCTGCTTGGTATCTCTGCTCAGCATCCCTGTTTCTCTTTCACACTTGGACACGGACATTCACACTGTAGAGTTTCCTTTCTTGCATAAACAAAGTTTGTTTGGCAAAAGCCAACCTTGACCATGGATGCTATTAATACAACCATCATCCAACACGTCTCACTTTTTCCTCTCCCCACTCCCAACCTGACATCACATCCAGGAAATGTCTGAGATCTCTGGAATCTCTCACTAATAAGGCCTTTACGAGGAATGGCTGAATTTCTGAGAATGTGTCACCATATATTTTTGAACTGCAGTGGTTTTCTGAAAACTTAAACAAGGTGATTTTAGATCCAGGAAAGTGTTGCATCACTGAATCTCTTACACTGATGGACAGAGAAAGGCACTCAGTAGATGTTGAATGAATTAATTTAAAACCGTACAGCTCATTTAGTACAGCCTCTTTTTATATAAGCAGTTAAATGATTTGTTCAAGGTCACAGTGATGATTTGCAACAGAACTTGGAGCAGAATCCAGGACACTCAACTTCCAGCTTTGTATCAGGCTTCGTGAACTCAGATGTTACAAGAAGCTACACAGATAATAACATAATCAATCTTTGAGTCTTAAAACTTAAATTGTATAACATGAAATAAGCAAAAGGATAACCTTTTTCAATCTAAAAGTATTGCTCAGATGAATGAAACAGAAAACAAAGATCACAGAAGCAGTGGTTATTTTTCTCTTAATTGAAGTAACATTTAACATAAGGACAATAAAATTAATGAAAGGAAATAACAGTCTATAAATACAAATTCCCTGAGTTGAATGTTGAGTCTTGGAAAATAAAGTAAAATTCAGTGTTGATAATTGGTTTAAAAACAGGTGGTCTAACTTATGACATTTGTTTTGATATTTTTATCCTTCAGTCTCTGTACTAAAATGCAAACTTAAACCCATAGAGACATACGAAATCACTCATTTTATCCCCTCCACCAATGCATCAAGAGCCAGTATTCCCTCTATTCCAACTTATTTTGAATTCACAGTGGACTTTCCTTGTTGTTGAAGATTGAAATAGGTAGCAGTTGTAGTTCTTAAAATGCTAAGAAATTAAAACATTAAAGCAAGGCAAAAAAATCCAGCTCAACTCGTATCAAATGACTTAATTTGATATATACTTTAGATCTTTAAACATCTATTCTTCAGTTGTATCATGGACATAGCAAAGTCTGCTCGTGCAAGAAACACGATTAACTGGAGGCTGTAGTGGATTCGATTGGGTTTTCTCCTGTCATCACCAGCACACACACCAGAGAACTGATCAGATAACCAGCATTATGTATGCATCATATGAGCATTTACGGTTCCCTTGTGACCTGCACAGGTTGGTCATATGGTCTCCAGGGAGGAAAAGACGTATGTGACCACACATTTGCAGAACAGGCGACAGATGACTAGTACCATGACATTTTAAAATCACCAGCATCTAAAAATATTTGTTGACATTGAATCAACTCCAGACCAAATCCAAAACTAGCTCAGGTCACTTAGCTGCCTCTCCTGTGTGGCTTCATACAAGCCCAAACTGAGGCAAATTCCAGTGTCCAGGACCAGACAACTTCTCTAGCTCCAAGACCAGCACAGAAACATCCAGGAAGCTCTGACAAATCATTCACAGTATAGGTTACATTTTAGCAGCCAGAAGAGCAAGGCAAGAAAGAAGGACATCTCTTGTCCAGCACTCACCATATGGACGGCGCTTCTGTCCCACTGATCTCTAAGAAGTCGTATCCTTCTTCGAGCTGGAAATCAGTGAAGACCAGCGCGATGGTGTCCCCGGGCTCCGCAAGGATGGTCCACGTGCAGTCGGCATTGTTCTCGTACTCGGAGGGGAAGTGGGGGCTGGAGATGCTGCTGCTCGTACCCCGCAAGGTTCCGCCGCAGGCCCCCTCGGCTGCAAGGGGCAGAAGAGAGACAGCACATTTAAAAGTGGCTTCAGACCCAAGTACCTCCATCAAGTGCCACTCTTGATGGGTGGCAAATATTTTCTGAATCCAAAATCATGACACACAGTCGGAATGAGGGTTTCTTTCTTCTGATTTGTTAGTTTAGTCCTATGGAAAGACTTAACAGTATACCAATTATATTGCCTTGTGAACTGAACTACCACTAAAGAAAGAAGTAAAATTATGTCTTTTCTAAGATCTGTGATGTACAATTATTATACACCTGACTTTCACAGGCAGCTCAACAGTATTCTCAAAGGAAGACAGAAATAAGTTGGCAACATTTTGAGTCTTAAAAGTATGTAGCCATCTTTGCTTCATTTTCTGTGAGCTGGCTGTGAAAACACAGTGATCTTAAAAGAAGTAGCCACCTTAATCTTTACATCAGGTAGAGTCTGGAATGTGCACTTCACTTTGAATTTCAGGTAAGTCCTTGAATAAGATGAAAACCAAGATGCATCAATTCATAAAAAGATTCTGAGTAGGAAACAGCTACATGAAAACTTAAAATGGATAATCTAGGAAAAGCGACAAGGAAAAGATCAGTATGGTAAAATATAATACACTGAGGATACAAATTAGCATTGGAATAAATACTCTTTTGAAGAGAAGTGGATCTTGTAATTTTTTCCACTTAGTAAAAAAAAATAAATGTTATTCAATTTATATAATCATCTAATACAAAATGTTATGTATATAGTAAACTGTATATATAGGGCAGACACATATGTGTAAGACAACATTTTTGAAGACACTGTAAATATTGTTCCTTCCTCTCTTTCTTCCCTTTTCTCTCCCTTTTCTCCCTTCCACCCTCCTCCCTTCTTTCCGATCACATAATCCTAGCAAAGAGTACACACTTGGCTGTCTTTGTCTGCAGACTCTATATCCATTTTGTTTTTATTCAGTCACTCAGTCATCTCTGACTTTTTGTGACCCCATGGACTGTAGCATGCCAGGCTTCCCTGTCCTTCACTATCTCCTAGAGTTTGCTCAAACTCATGTCTATTGAGCTGATGATGCCATCCAACCATTTCATCTTTTTTAGCTCCCTTCTCCTCCTGCCCTCAAACTTTCCCAGCATCCTGGTCTTTCCCAATGAGTCTGCTCTTTGCATCCATAGATTCTACCAACAGAAGATGGAAAATATACAAAAAAGATTCCCAGAAAGTTCTAAACAGTGAAACTTAAGTTTGCTGCATGCTGACAACTACATACCATTTTCATTGTATTAGTCGTTGTAAGTATTCTAGAAATAATTTAAGGTATATGAGAGGATGTGCGTGATGTTTACATACAAATATTACTATGACATTTTACATAAGGGACTTGAGCATCCAAGAAAAGTTCCAGAGTTTCAGAAAAGCATCTACTTCTGCTTTATTGACTATGCCAAAGTTTTTGACTGTGTGGATCACAATAAACTATGGAAAAAGAGATGGGAATACCGGATCACCTGACCTGCCTCTTAAGAAATCTGTATGCACAGATCAGGAAGCAACAATTAGAACTGGACAAGAACAACAGACTGGCTCCAAATCAGGAAAGGAGTACGTAAAGGCTGTATGTTGCCACCCTGCTTGTTCAACTTATATGTAGAGTACATCACGAGAAAGACTGGGCTGGATGAAGCAAAAACCAGAATCAAGATTGCCGGGAGAAATATCAATAACCTCAGATATGCAGATAACACCACCCTTATGGTAGAAAGTGAAGAAGAACTAAAGAGCCCCTTGATGAAAGTGAAAGAGGAGAGTGAAAAAGTTGGCTTAAAGCTCAACATTCAGAAAACTAAGATCATGGTATCCGGTTCCATCACTTCATGGCAAATAGATGGGGAAACAGTGGAAACAGTGGCTGACTTTTTTGGGGCTCCAAAATCACTGCAGATGGTGACTGCAGCCATGAAATTAAAATACGCTCTCTCCTTGGAAAGAAAGTTATGACCAACCTAGACAATGCATAAAAAGTAGAGACATTACTTTGCTAACGAAGGTCCATCTAGTCAAAGCTATGGTTTTTTTCAGTAGTCATGTATGGATGTGAGAATTGGACTGTAAAGAAAGCTGACCGAAGAACTGATGCTTTTGAACTATGGTGTTGGAGGAGACTCTTGAGAATCCCTTGGAGTGCAAGGAGATCCAACCAGTCCATCTTAAAGGAAATCAATCCTGAAAATTCATTGTTGAAGCTGAAACTCTAATACTTTGGCCACCTGATGCGAAGAGCTGACTCATTTGAAAAGACCCTGATGCTGGAAAAGTTTGAAGGTGGGAAGAGAATGGGACAACAAAGGATGAGATGGTTGGATGGCATCACTGACTCAATGGACATGAGTTTGAGTGAACTCGATAGACAGGGAGGCCTGGCGTGCTGCAGTCCATGGGGTCCCAGAGTGACTGAACTGAACTGAGTATCCAAGGACTTTGTGATCTGCTGGGGACCCTGGAGTCAGTGTATGACTGTTGTGTCATCCCAGCCCCACGGACTCTCCACTCACCGTCCTGTCTGATACCCCGCACCCCACTGCCCCTTCCTGGGTTCCACGTCCGGCCCTCTCTCACCTGCCTGGGCTCACTCCCTGTCTCCTCAGCCTGGTCTGTCCCACTCCTCAGCACTTTGCTCAGGACAAAGCATTGGGCCACAAGCTTCATGAGCCTGACTGTGCTCAGGGATGCCCCTGGGCCTCACAGGTAGCCTGGAACTCAGTAAAGTCCCCTCTCTCCCCTGCTCACGCGCCTGACGCGACATTTCCTGTAAGTGAGTCACTTATACTAACCCTCCACTCAGACATCTTCAGAAGGAGGAATGCGACTGTACTAATATACCTCTGGGCTTAAGATAATATCCAACTTTATCATTTCAAAGAGTAGAAGTAGGAAGGTAAGCTAATTTAGTTCTAGTACTAGGAGGCGTTTTCAAATGTAAAGTTCTAAGAAAATAATATTCTATTAAAAACGGCAGCAAGCCTATAAGAAGAAAGTTTCATCGTGGAAGCAATCCAGAAGGGGCTTAGCTGACTATTTGTTTTGCTCTGTTTGTTTTCGGCAAATAGCTGAGCCTCAAGTCCAGAAATGCTCTTTTTGTTCTCAGCAGAGCAACAGGGAAGTTTCAAGAAGAAATAAAGTCAAGGCAGGCAGAGAAAGCAAAATAATCAAGTAAAATATTAAAAAATGAGGATTATGGACAAGCTTCTCGGAAGAAGAAGAATTATTTCAAACTCCGTAAACATTTAATGTAAACTTAGAAATTACATATAAAAAGTAAAATATATTAAAAAATAACCATTAAAATAAACTAGATAATTCTGGCCAATATTTATATATTATAGTTATATATCAATATAATGTAAGCTTTTTTTTTTAATCCCTGGATGTTAACAGTAGAACAAATGTACCCAAAATTTTACCCTAATGTTAATTCTGCTATATATAGAAGAATTTTTTTTTTTGTCTAGAAGCTGAAAAATTGGGGGAGGGTATCTATCTACTTAAGTAAGTGTTATTTAGAATTACATCATCTCCCCCCTCCTTTTTTAAAAACACATTTTGCAGAAAGAAAATGAAGTTAGGTTTGAAACTGCCAGGTAAATACTTGACTATAAAAATTAGCACCCAAAATGTTTCCTAGAAAAATGTTGAATATCAATATTGAGTCCCTTCACTCCATATCGTAAAAACTGCTCCTGGGACAGCCAGATTAAGGGGTCAGAGGGCACAGGTGCTAAAACAGAGTTAAGGAGTCAGGCTTTGATCCTGCAGCAACTATCAGAACAACTATTCCTTTAAATCCATTTCTTATATTGAGTTTTCACAAAATCTTGCATTTGAAAAAGAATTCCACAGCTTAAAGGAGTGTGAATGCCAACAAGTTAATCCAAGAAGAAGATAAGGTTTTTAATAAAAGATGTGTTTGAATGTACTGATTTCTGTTAAGTGGGGAAAATAATTCTAACTGTAAGCAGAAATCATAGTGCACTATGTCCCCTAAGGGATTTCACAACTTTTAAAAAGTTTTATCCCAAACTGTAAAAGTATTATAAGCTTTGCTTGGGTACCGGTGTTGTTAGGAATGTAACTTAAAGGTATGATTCAAAATACAGAATAAAACATTATTTAGAGACATACTTCGCCATATTTATCATAAAGAAAAATTGAAACCAACTAAATGTTTAACAACAGATAAATGATCAAATAAATTACAATGCAACCAAACCATGTGGTGATTACCAAGCATCTATAACATTGTTTCAGCAAATCCCTGACTTACAATATTAAATTTATAAAATGCAGGGTATACCCTGCATAGTTTCTTCTCAATTTTAAAAATTGTATAGAAAAATATTCAGAAAAGAAGAAAGATGTGCACATACATTTAAAATGTTCAGTTGCTAATACTAGGCAATGTTTTCTTTTTTTTTTTTTCCATTTATTTTTATTAGTTGGAGGCTAATTACTTTACATCATTGCAGTGGTTTTTGTCATACATTGATGGGGAATACATGTAATACTAGGCCTTCTCTAAGGCTGTGTAGAATACTGATACCAGTGCAAGCTTTCAATTTGGCTACCTGGATTGGAATCTGAGTTTTTGCCCCTTTATATAATGAGTTCTCTTCTCTGGGCCTCAGTGTGGCTATTTATAAATAAGGATAGTAAGGATGTCATACAATCAAAGGCATGTTTTTTCTAGTAGTATGGATATGAGAGCTGGGCCATAAAGAAGGCTGAGTGCTGAAGAATTGATACTTTTGAATTGCGGTGTTGGAGAAGACTCTTGAGAGTCCCTTGGACTGCAAGGAGATCAGACCAGTAAATCCTAAAGGAGATCAGTCCTGAATATTCACTGGAAGGACTGATGCTGAAGCTGAAGCTCCAATACTTTGGCCACTTGATACAAAGAGTCAATTCACTGGAAAGAGTCTGATGTTGGGAAAGATTGAGGGCAG